TGCAGGTTGCTCTGGTTCGGTGGACGGAGCAAGTGGGTGTTCGGCTAGCACAGCGTGACCTCGCTTCAATGCAACTGCAACTTTCAAATGGTCGAACAAAAAGTTTCCAAATTCTCCACTTATTTCCATTCACATCTGAAACAAAACGAATGGGAATCATCGTTAAGGTCGGTCATTGGTCTAGTAACGACTGTAAGTTTGAACATCATTTGAACATCGCGAAAGTGCAGCATTACTTTATTTTGTTAGTAACAATTACATAAATATTTAGGACGAGACGAGTGATGAGATTAGTTTGTTGATGAAAGGTGCAGATACGGTAATGGCTGGAATGGTGCAATATAACGATTGGTTGGAGGAGGAATGCAGCAACATGGCAAGAGAAGGTCCATTCTTGTCAGTAATATTCTGTGGAATGATAATTTGTTTGCAAATTATTTGTAGGATTGCGTACTTTGGTAGTTGCGAAGAAAGTTTTATCGGTGGAACAACTCGCCGATTTCGAGAAGCACTATCATCAAGCCAAGATGACGGTGGTTGATCGAAGTGAGCATATGGCTGCAGTACTGAGGCGGTTGGAGACTGATCTGCAGTTGATTTGTTTGACTGGTGTCGAGGATAGATTACAAGTACTGCTATATCAGTTTCTGATTAGTGAGCTAATAATCATTCAGCGATTGTGAAGTACACTGATCTCAGAGCATTTAACTGAACATTCATTTAATTTAACTCTTCATTTAACTTTCAGTTGCTTGATCATGTTATTGGTCTTTTTAGCTGACCGATTTAATTTTCATTTAGATGGTCTTTTTTCTAGATAAATTATGTATAGCAATTTTTTTTAACAACTTAATGATGTAGGAAAACCATAGCTAATTTTTCCAACATTAAAATTGTTTTTAGTATTTAACACTCTCAGATTTGATAAAACACATGAGCCACATTTAAAAAGAAAAGTAAAAATCAATAACTCAACACAGTTGAAGTTTTCATTCGTGCGCTAAACTGCTGCCAATTTAACCTGATATCTATTATTCTGGATATATGAGGAGTTACATGTAATTACTTCATCATTTTTTATGAATATTTGTTCATTTGAAGGACGAAGTGACAACGTCGTTGGAGTTGCTTCGAAATGCAGGGATCAAAATTTGGATGTTGACTGGGGATAAGCTGGAAACTGCAATTTGCATCGCGAAGTCATCTGGGCTTTTTTCCAAAACAGACAATGTGCATGTATTTGGACAAGTACAGACTAGAATAGATGCTCATAACGAACTGAACGCCTTGAGGAGGTCTTTGATAGTCAATTTAGTAAAATGATTAAAAGAGGGAACCATTGTTATATCTTCTCTCTTCGTGGCTTTATCAGTCATTTATAGGAAAAACGATGTGGCACTAGTTCTTTCTGGATCTGCCCTCAATGTATGCTTGCAATATTATGAAGCTGAAGTGGCGGAACTTGTACGCTATTCCTTTTTATTTCATTCCCTCAAAATTTTTTAAATAGCTTACAATCTTTCCGCAAGGAAGACCTTCCGTAGTGGGTCGTTGTCCTCCTGAAAATGTTGTGGTAATAAGAAAACAAAGAAGCGTAATTGTTTAAAATTCATTTTTTTTTGTCTAAAAGAGTATCGTGTAGTGAATATGATGTATATATGTTTGTCAAATAACTTCAGGTTTGTGGTTGTACTGCTGTAGTGTGCTGTAGATGTTCACCAGAGCAGAAGGCTCAACTCGTAAATTTGCTTCGGAAGTATCGTTCCCCTTTACGAGTAGCTGCTATTGGTGATGGTGGTAATGACGTGTCTATGATTCAAGCAGCACATGCTGGGATTGGAATTGACGCTCATGAAGGTCTCTGGATATTTAATTATTGATTTTTGCATAAAAACCAGAGAACACGCTAGGCTACTGGGCTTCCATAACATACAAAGTGTATATCTTGAAGATTTTTAAAAATAACTATTCGCTATCTTCTACTGCAGAAAGAATAACTGGAAATAACTATAGTTGATGAAAAAAATCATTTTAATTTCAATTAAGTTTTATGAGATATGTTGCGATGAGCTTTCAAACAAAAAATAGCTAAAGAATGAGAATTAAAGAGATGGAGCAAGGTGCGGAAGCTTTCTAATCCGCTAGCTAATACAAAACACTTGTTTAGTCAAGGTTTAATCAACAGCGCAATACAAAGTAGTGTTAGCGGTCGTATCATGTTAATATCAGTTGCGGGTTCCCGTTTCTTTCACTTTATATTTTTCTTCCTTTAATAATATGATTATTTTTAGGAAAACAGGCGTCTTTGGCAGCCGATTTTTCTATCCCTCAATTTGCTCATATCTGTCGCTTACTTCTTGTTCACGGGCGTTATTGTTATAAGCGTTCTTGCGCACTCTCTCAGTTCGTCATGCATAGAGGTATGCTGTTTATAATCCCACTTACCACGAAGTTCGTGAAGCAGTGGTTTTTTTCAGGTCTCATCATATCGATTATGCAAGCCATTTTCTCTTGTGTATTTTATTTTGCCTCTGTTTCATTGTATCAGGGCGTATTAATGGTTGCGTGAGTTCATTTTTTTAGTTTTTTTAATTTTACAATACCAGCTCAATTCATTTACATCTTAGACACTAATTTTTTTTTAGTAATCTTTCTACAATAAAATACCCCGCAACTCCGTAAGATGTTGCAGTGAGTGTTTGCTTTTCATCCACTTTTTGCACTTTCATTAGTTACTCCATCAGAAAGTCCATCTATCACATTTATGCAAAATTCCATCTGGTTTTTCGTTAGTTTCTCGTCATTTGACGGCGACAGTATTTGCAGATATTCGACCGTATACACAATGCTACCGGTGTTTTCTCTAGTGGTTGATCGAGATGTTACTGCATTGAATGCTTTAACTTATCCCGAGCTCTATAAAGAGCTCGGTAAAGGACGTTCTCTCTCTTACAAAACTTTTTGTATATGGATTCTTATAAGTATTTATCAAGGTTAGATTTCTAAAAGCATATTCTGTCTCTTAAGACCTTGCATTATTCATTTATTAGTAGTGAATAATTGTTCAGGATCAGCAATTATGTACGGCGCCTTGCTTGTATTCGATTCCGACTTCATTCACATTGTATCCATCAGTTTTACTGCTTTAATCGTCACCGAATTGATTATGGTAGCACTTACCATACATACCTGGCACTGGGCTATGCTCCTTGCTCAGGTTTATATTTGTTTCTTCATCTTCAATACGATAGCACACAAACAAAACAATATATTTTAGTTCAGTTCATCTTTAGCTCATTTTACTGCATTGAAGATTAACTGTCGATATCTGAAGTATGCTGGAGTTTCAGCAAATGTTAGCAGGGAACTTCAGACCTGCTGATGTTCAGTTTTGAGGTAAGAATAATCGTTCCATTCATTATTTTCAGGCTCTTTCACTGAGCTTATATGCTGGATCCCTGCTCTTATTGGATAATTTCTTCGACCGTCAATTTGTTACAACATGGATTTTTCTGTCAAAAACAACAGCGATAACGGCAGTTTCATGTTTTCCGCTTTATATCATTAAGGCACTTAGGAGGCGATTTTCACCCCCATCTTATGCTAAAGTGAATTAATTCAAAGCTTTTTGAACTCTGCATGTCACAACAAGTAAAGAAACTTGTTTGCGTTCAAAAGAACGTATAAACGAAGGATTCAGTTTATCGGCACTTCTGGCATGCGAACAGTTATTCTTCGCTGGTGAAATACGTATATGATATTTGATGTTATCTGTAATGGATGTGTAATATGGTAGTATGATATTTATTTCTTTCGTTATTATAAGATTTCTTGTCTATTTATAGTTAATTGTGGTTTGTTAGGCCTGGATAGATTGCCTAGCAGTTAAGGGAATCGGATTATGGATTGAGAATCCTGTGTGTTTCTGTGATCCAATAATCGTTAATAGATGTGGCTATTTATCAGCGGTGACTTATGGAATGCCCTAATTGTTCAGTGTGGAGAATAAATAGTTTCAACGAACTATATTCAAAACGCTTATTTGAGCGAGAAACTCTCCATCCATGAACATTATCGGCAGTCAGGAATATTTCACTGATGTTAAATAAATGTATACCAACTTGCTATAATTGGTGTGCTCTTCCGTTCGATAACCTCGATATTCTTTTTTTTTTTTTTTTTATTTTGTTCTCAGTTATCCTGAACGAAATATGTATCAATGGAGGTCACATTTCCAAGTCGACAAGTATTGTAGAAATGCTATTAGGACAGTGAAGCATTCATTATACGTTTACGCCCAATCGTTTATTGCTCAAGTAATAATGAAATAGTGATAAATATATTGTGGACTCTGACGGCAAGAGCTTTTATGCATCCCATCAGGATTTAGTGGTCGACTGTGGCGCTCGCTCAGTTAGAGCAATCCATTTCAGGACGTGGATGGCGGTACTAGCGGGTGTTGGATATTTATTCATCGCATTTTCACCTTCACTTGTTATTTTTCGACGGGTAATTGCCAGCGATCCTTTGCGAATAATCCTCTTTGTGTTGGGGTATGTTTCAAGCCCTTGGTAGTCTTGAATTATGTATACCTTCTGATATCCGTTCGGTTGGACTATCGTTACTGTCACAATATGGCTGTTAAGTTTTGTGTGGGAGCCGGTTCACTTGAAATGCTAATATTTCTGTTTCATGGCATTATATGGTGGTATGCTATGTACCTCGATCACATTTCAGCAAATACTAATCCTGTTTTCTAATGTTCCCTTCATTGTGTTCGATTTCAGTGCATTTTTTTGGCTCTTATCGTTATTACTGTCAGCATGCGTTTGGTTCGCAATGGTACCCTTCAGGGAGCACTTGGTTTTTGCAGTAACTGTCTCTGTCGCATTACAGGAAGGAGCCAGACTTCTTCATTTCATCCTCTTAAAAAGGCACAAAAGTGATAATTCTGATAATTTGGTGTGAAAGCAACATTCATTAATTCGGATGCTTTGACAGCTGACCTAAACACTTGATTGCAAATATAGCATTTCTCCGATATTTGCAATCGTTGCTCTTTACTTAAGTAATTTCCTACCCTTTCCATCTTACACTTAGCATAGGTTGAATCACGTTTGCTGCAGGTTATTACCGTGGGAGTAGTTCCATTAAATGCTCGCTAAAGACCTTAAATAATATACTTCTTTTCTCAAATAATATACTTCTTTAGGGGTCTGAACCACATGTCAGTTGCTGGTCAAAGAATAGCTGGTGTGCATACTTTGCGAGACGCCCGCCATGTTTTAGCCACTGTGTGTGGCCTAGGAATGGGCGTGATGGCAGCTTTGTTTCTCATTATCAATGTGATCGCTGACTTCTGGGGCCATGGTACTGTGGGTTTACCAGCTACTGTACCGTATATATCGGATCGCTTCACAGTTAAGCTTCTCTCCACTGACCAACATTTCCCTGTAAGTTTTCCTGAAAAGATTTACCACCAAGAAAAGCATTAGATGTTCCCAAAGCATTACGAATCAAAAGCAGGAGGTGGAGAAGTGTCCGGTATTCATGGCAAATTTTTAGCGAAAAGTGATGTGAAAAAAGCGTTACAAACTATCCTACCCTGATAATATTTCACTTTTAATTTTTGACTGATACAGTGAATCCTAAATTTGCAGATAACGTATTCTATATCAGCATGCATGGTGACATTGTGTCACGTCTTCTGGACTGTATTGTTCTGGGATGGATGTCATAAGAAGGGTATTACGAACACCTGGTGGATGGGTATTTGCTTTGTTGTCATCTCGCACTACGCTATGTCTGTTTTGGTAATTATCACTTTTCCCTTTTATCAGTGTCATCTATTTGCTTTTTTCCCAACGATACACTGACCAAAAAGAGTTCTTGAATGGGACGAAAAGATATCTCTTCTAGAACAAGACCACTTTTTAACAATAATAGTTATAGAGCTTTGGGAATCGAACAAAATATCAGATGGCTGTAATATGCGTGCAGGGAGCTGTCGTTGTGATAAATGCAGTGATCTCGTTCTTGGTTATGGGTGTCACTTGGCCAATTTTGAAACGCAAGACGAAATTAGCATTTTCCAGACTTCTATGCTTGAAAAGCCGCAGCTCGCAATCCATTGCTGCTTCTATTTCTAGATCTGAAAACCCTGCCAGTGATCAGACCAGTGATAGGTCTGATGCACTCCATATTTATACCTGATCTGTAATCTATGTTTCCCTCTTCTCTAGATTTAGTTTTGTTTGCTAATCATTTCAACATTATAATACTCCTCCATCCTGTCAATGAGTTCAGTATTTTCTTTCGAAGCGAAAGACTTCAGCCTCAAGGGATCGTCATTCTTCATTCTCGCTTATTCTATTTATATTGTCATGGCGAATGAAAGTAAGACTTCGTTCTTCATTGCTGTCATCATTCCTATGTTTTTATGCCATTGTAGCGTCTGTGAATCCATCATATGATCTCTTCTGATGCTTTAATTTGCTTTCCAAATAAAGTCATACTTTCTCGTTTAATATTTGTCAAGTAGGCATAATCTCAGTGCAGTTCTCGAAAGAAATGGATATAATGAGTATACGTAGCGGACAAGAGAGTAGAGTCTTGGAATGTATCGCGATGATAAGCGAAAGGATTTCTGAAATGATACCGTTCTGACGTAAATATATACAGCAGCAGTATACGAGCAAATACTACCCATCCATATTTGCTTACATTATAATGGTAAAATATGTACCAGTTGGTCCGATTTATCTACTTTTACTGTTTCTGTTCAACGCATCTACTATAGTATTATGTGTTCAGGATAAATGCAATAGTTCCCAAACCTTTCTGTACAGAAAGAACTTCATAATCGACTTAAAGCCCAACGTTCGACAAACCAAAACAATTACCATCCTCACAATTTTCATTTCAATCAAGATCACGTGGCAAACGCTAGTGCATCGTTATGTATCGAGACTCCGTACTTTAGCAGACTCCGGAGTAAACCCGAGGTCCATATAGGGTTTGCTAAAAATTCTTTGGAATCGCTGCGTTACTACTCGTTGGGCGTTATGAAAAAAGACGTTTGTCATGTCATAGTTTCAGAAGTGAAATGCAGTAAGTGGCTGTTCGAACTCAGTTGTTCGTACCTAATTCTTGGTAGTTCGACATGATGTATTTATGAGATTTTGGGGAAAAGTTATATGTAGTGTCGAGCGAAGCAGAAGAGAAAGTAGCGATTGTTTATTTCGGATAAAATCTTAAAAAAATAAAAATCTAAGATCGGTCAAGGGAAGCTTATGGAAAAAGTGAACTGCGTGAAGTTATTAAAAAAAATTAAGTTACCATCAGCAAAATCATTTGTTAGACTGTCAAGAGCACTGAACTATAGGATTTTAATGATTTACAATAATACTGATGGGTCTGGATGATAGTAATAGACGATCGATTTATAAACGTAATTGGTACCTTTCAGCTTTGAAAAATGGAAACGGTATGTGCGGACGAAGAAAGAAATGGGAAAATTTTGTGTTGTCAATGTGGGACCTCGATTGAACCAAATGCAATGAATATGTGCGTCGCATGTGTGCGATCGCGTATTGATATTACAGAAGGCATACCGAAACAGAGTGAAGTTTATAGCACAATTGAAGAGATCTATTGTTAGACAAGTGAAGCTAATGGTTACTGCTGTAGCTGCATTACTAGATTGTCATCTGTGAAAGATTGCTGCCTCTTGTTCATTTGTTTGATATTTCTATAGTTCTAAATTTCATCACTTACACTACATGCTTTCTTCAGGTCGAGCTTTCATGTGTAAATTCTGCAGTCGATGGTTGATACCACCGAATGGCTGGGTAAATGCAGAGCGAGAGTCCAAAGAAATGCTTGCCATACTGTTGAAGAAGCTAAAGCCCACGATGACTAGGGTTGCGTTTATATAATTGATTCTGAATTTGTAACCTTAGTTTCAGCTATAAATATGTGGAAAACACTTATTAAATGCAATTATATTATTTAGGTACGCCTCATCGATGCCTCCTTTGTATGGACAGAACCACATTCAAAACGAGTGAAACTCAAGTTGACTATCCAGAGCGAAGTGCTGACAGGCGCTGTTCTTCAACAAATTTTCATTGTAGAATTTATTGTTATCAATCAGGTATACCTTTGCTTTAATTAATCTTTCTTTCATTATCGTGAAAAAATGCTACTATATAGTATCTATCCGAACATTTCTTTAGGAATTTCAATGCTGCTATCATAAATATGAGAATGAGATGAAGGCTGTCTCATTATAATAAGTGGGTACGTAGACTTTGTACTTTATCAAGTATGAAGCCATTTTGGATCATATGGCAAACAGCTACTCATATTGATTTATTGCATTAAATTTTGGAGTGATTTAAACATATGAAATGTGCAACGATAATGGCAAAGATTAGGTATTCTCCTGTTTGTTAAGATGTGTGATGACTGTCGACGTGCTGAAGCAAAGGATTTTTGGCGTGCTTGTGTTCAAGTTCGTCAGAAGTGTGAATTTAAAAAGACGCTGTTTTATCTGGAACAACTAGTCCTGAAATATGGTGCCCATGTCAGTACAACAGCTATCAAACCTGTACCTACAGGGGTCGATTTCTTTTATGCAAAGTTGCAGGATGCCAGAAAATTCGTTGATTTTATCACTTCTCATTTGCCGTGTAGATATTCTTACGCCCAGGTATAATCATTGTGCTTTTTTCCCAGATCCTTCCTCTCAGTTCCAGTTTAAAGTTTCAATTTTAATTATACTTCTTTTGAGTGCCACGAAATTTGAATTTTTTTGCATGTCCTCTCTAGACTTTTGATGAAACGAAAAACAAACTGGATGTCTGGGTCTTGATTTTTCATCTATGCACTGTTAGCAATTGTTAATATTATTATTTATTGGATGTCGATATGGTTTATAACAAATTGTTCTGAGTTGATTGTCGTGATGTAATGCTTATTTTATCAGTCAGGAAATGGTAATGTATAGAAAATATGCAGTTGATGTTATTTGTATTTTTTGAATTGCAGGAACTGGTGACACATGATGTTAAGAATAATACTTACGACTACAAGCACACTTTCTGCGTGGAGGTCGTACCCATATGTCACGGTGATTTAGTGTGTCTGCCGAAAAAGATAGCTCAGGCTCTGGGTAATATGAATCAGCTGGTTGTATGTTTTAGAGTTAACACTGTGATCAGTGTGATTGACTCGAATACTTTGCAAATAGCGGATATTAATTCGTTAGTTAACCGTTTTTTCTTTCTTTTTTTTGACGTCTTTTTCTTGTTTTCTTTTTTCATGTTATATTCCTTTGCAAGGCAGTGAGCGATAAACTGATAGAAACACCAGCAGTGAGTTCTTGTCGAGCTTCCAAGCTGGGATTTTGAGAAATCCAGTCATTTTTTAGGGTTCAGTATTGGCGTGATCCCTTTCAAGCTTTATGTCAGTCAAAACGGTTGAGCGAGTTTTACGTAATGAACGTAGAGGATATTGATATTCAGTTAAGAGGAACATATAGCCATTTGTCAACGAAACATCGTTTAGTTGACATTTGGGTAGTCCCTAGTAATCAGGTATGTGAAACTTTGTATTTCTTCTATCACAACTTTCCTTCTCATTACAAAACTGACTTTTATTTATGATGTATAAACTTGTCTTGACATTACTGGTTGGTTGTAAAATGGTGACTTAAATTGCTCTCAGTTATTTATCAACTGATTTTTGGTAAAATTTCTGTTTTTATCGGATTTAATTTTTTACCAGATCGATTTTTCTTGAAATTGATTACTTGTAGATTGGACAGGATAATCAAGAGGTTTGCACACGATCTCATCTTGGACATTTGTTAAAACCAGGCGACCTTGTGTTAGGTAAAACAGTTCACCTTTTAATCATTTTTTCCTGGTTCTTTTTTCTGTATCCACCTTTGCATGTCTTTTTTTGTATTATTTTAAAAAATTAAAATCTTTTCATTGAAGGATATGATTTACGCAGTAGCAATGTGAACAGTACATTGTTGGACGAGATGAAAAGGGATAGGATACCTGATATCATCTTAGTTCGAAAAGTTTACGATCGGTCTATACGACAAGAACGAAATAACTGGGAACTGAAGCGACTGATTCAAAACGATGGTGATGTTTGTGATAGCTCTTTTATGGAGAACGAATTTGAGGTATAGTAGCGAACGTTTCTCTTGGAAGAAATTAGATTTGTCACAAAGTTTCACGGAAAGAAAAACCATTGTTTAACTAACGGATCAATTGTATTGCAGGACTTTTTGGAGGATTTGGAGGAGGATGAACAAATGAAGCAGAAGGTCAACTTTTATCGGAACAGTGCGAAGCAGCAAACAGTTTGTTCTAAAAACATCGCGTTAGAATTGCCACTGGGTCCTCCACTCCATGAAATGATGGATAACCTTGACCTCAACACCGATGTTGAAATGAATTAATGGATCAGCTTTTTTTTCTTTTTACCAGTATTGCTGTAGTCAGTTTACCTTGCTTTTTATCGGATGTATTTAGTGGTTGGAGGGCCGTATTTAGAGCATCTGATATTTGTGTATTTTGCAACTCCTTTGCCATGCGTGGTACTGCTTTTCATACTCTCGACAGATTTATTAGGATCCTAAAGTATCAGGAAGAACCGCTCAAATAAGAGGCTACAAAAATATGTAGTTGTTATTCCTTTATCCTTTGCTGACATGAATTATTCTTACTGATATGCCGATTCATCATAATAAATCAACAAGTTGTTAGTATGTGCTTATCTGTTTCATATCGCTGATTTTTTCGCATATTGATATGTTTGTTATATTTTGTGTTACTGCTAGGATTGGAAAGTAATTCAGTTATACCTCCAATCTGTTACCGTAAAGATTTTTCACGATAAGCAGTTAGTTGAGTCAGAACACAGCAGTCAGTATGACACGCCAAAGGATATACTATTGAAGTGCTTTACGAGAAGACAGCTAATAAAGGAATCATAAAAACTCACTTGGAAAGATGGTATTGATTATTTAAAAGATGGTGTTGTTATTGATTGTTCAAATCGAAGTACTTGAAGCAACCTTTATCTAAGATTGTAAGTATGGTGATTTCATACGCAATTCTGAGCATAAAGTTCCTTATGTAATTAAAGTGGCTTTTAAGAGCTGCTAATGGGACTGATTCTATCCCGGAATTTTCTGAGTTGGACGGAGATGCACAATATGAGACAAAATAGAAAACTGTGGAAAAAGTGGTGGGAGAACTAGGTGTGATAGCTTTTCATCAATGCTAAAGATACGCTTGGGGGAACTAATTTATAGAAGTTATAAATTTAATGGATTAGCCCATATAAATGTCTACACATAACTTTAGATTTTGAGGGTCTGTATAGGCCTTGGAAGAAATTGTAGTGAAAGTAGTCCTAGCAATTGGCATGTAATGTGAAAGCTGACAGCTTGTTCGTTGCAGGAGCAGTATCAATGATGTGCCTAGGAATCGATAGTCCTGGGACCAGATTGTTCGTAACGTGAAATGGACCCTCTTTTCATAAATATCTCGTCACTTTTTCGGATGATATAGTTTGGTCGCTGTGCATTTGACTGACTCCTGTATTGCTAATTGTTTTCGCTCACATTGGATACCTACTGATGCCATTCTGAAGCTTTCTATAGATTATGGATGAGAAATCAAGTCCAGAAGAAACTGGTCAACTAATCTACGAAGTAAGGGTCTTTTTTCCCTCGAGGTTTTCATATTTCAGCCGTGTTATTCCCGTTATCTCAAAATAACTCTCTTTATGGTTTCACTAGAATTATCTGAACTAATTGTTCTGTCTAAACATCCTTAAAAGGAGCCTTGTTTAGACTCTTTGTTTTTATTCTGCAGTTTTTGTCAAAAACTCACCCTTCATGTATTGGAATTAATGGCTTTTACAGATTTGGCATTGAAGATTCGGAAAAAAAATTTTTTTTTCTAAACCTGGTTGGAAAATATCACGGATTTCAAGTCGTTTTTCAGGCCGTGATATATGACAACGAAGAACTCCTGCAAGAGCTACTGGAGGCCAATCCAGGGAAGGTATATTATAGAGATAAGCACGGTAGAAGTGCTCTGCACATTGCTGCCCAAAATGGCAACATAGCAATCTTGGATCTTCTGATAGAAGCTGGAGGTGGAAGTTTTGTTCAGTTATTATTAAGACAATCATTAATGCATTACGTAGCTCCTATTTGATTCTCTTCTCAATCATCCAGAAAGACGTGTTCCGTTCTGTGACAGGTATTTCAGTTTGAATGTATTTGTTATCCTTTCAATTATTTATTTGCAGCGGACGTAAACAGTATGGCTGGTCCGAGCGCACTCTGTGCCACTCCTTTACATGTTGCCGCGGTTGCGGGACGTTTGGAAGCAGTGCAACATCTAATTGAAGCTGGAGCAGAACTTTTGGCTACTGATCTCAGGGACCATTGTGCACTGGAACTAGCGCAGATGGCGAATCAGTTCGAGACTGCTTGTCTTCTTATCGATGCCATCGGTCTGTTTGAATGGATTACTACGATATTTGAGCTTTGACTGTTAAGGTCATACCTCTGCAGCTAGGATCAGATAAATAAGGAAGGAGAGCAGAAAATAACCAAGGAAGAAAATCAGGAGTATATTTGTTTGCTCTTTGCTTTTGTTTGCTTTCTGTTAGTTTGTTGTTTGCTTTCTAAGAGAGGTATTTTCCCCATGCAAAGTTTTTGTCATATTATTATGAAGTTACAGGAATTTAGTTTCATGTTTGGTTATCTCATTAAAGTAATCTAAGTTTAATCGAGAATTGTAAAACCCCATTTCGTTTTCTTTTTGCTATAATTTTTTCCTTTAAGAATCGGTTCGCAATAAAACTCGTCAGCTGCATGACGATCTTGTCAAATCTACAGAAGAAGGAGACTTTAGAGCTGTTATTGAAGTTTTGCCGAATCTTACCAGTGCAAACTACGATGCTATCTTGAACGGTGCAACTTTGGATCGCAAATGTGTCCTATACCTGTATGTTTCTTCTTGCATCTTCATTCCTGCTTTTATCACATGTCATTGAGTGGAGAAGGCTATTCACGTTTTACCAATTTAGGATTGATGATTTTATGAAAATTTGCATGAAATGATAAAATATCATCTCCTTCAGTAAAATGAGGAGTTTCACTGGGATGTAAATTTCTCTTGGACCTGTGAGAATGCTGTCAATATGTAATGATTGTTCCTCTTCACACATCCCATATATAAACCCTTTTGGCCGAAACCAAAAGCCGGGACATGACAATTTGCAAGATACAATCAACATATGCATTCTTGTTTCTCCATCATCAGGAAGAAATGTTTGTGATTTCTGTCGCTTAGGCGTTTCTGTGTTTTGGGATTCACGAACTCTCGGAAAGCATTTCCTGCACTTGCTGGTTGGAGAGGTCTGCGCAAAACTTATCGAGATGATCAGAAGAATTGATTGGCGAGAGAAATAAATACGGTCATAAAACAAAACTTTATTATCCATTTCCTTCCTTTTAAAGCGTTGATTGGACACGCAGTTGTGCATCTTTGTGAAAAAGGATTGTGCTTTTTCTTTTGATTAATACTGGCTGAGCACGCTGCAGTTTTCTGCGGTCTAATTGGTCTATTGAACATACTTCTTAGATGTATAGTTTCATCAGAATAAATACAGCCATGAAGCGAAAGTTCGTTATCCATTTTGTCTATCTTTTAAAGCGTTGATTGGCAAGCGCGCAGTTATGCATCATCAGTTGTGAATCACTAAGCGGTAGAAAGCAATAGTTTTCGAATGCAAGTTCGTTCTGAAAAATACTGCGGAACTTGTTCTTCGTCTAACTACTTGTTTTTTTTAGGAGCTGCTTGGAAGCTGCATTTCAGAAAAATTTTTTTTGATTGTCAGTTCATGAAGCACCAATTGTCGGGCTTTTTCCCCTTCATACTGCATCAAATGTCATGCAATCATGGATAACCGCATTCCGGCTGACAGTTTCTCTGTCCCTCTGTAACTATAAGTTTCCATAATTACTCTCAGCTGAGCGGTACTAACTTTCGATGGCCGTTACTACTCTTCCTCAACTTGAATTACCATTTCATTGTATGTTAGCAGGCTGTTTCGTAGATCACAGATGTTGTTAACACTGTGTTTTACCACCGCTGTTTTAACTCGAAAAAGATTCGCTCTAATTCAGTTTTTCTTCAGTATGATTTCTGTAACCATGAAACAAACAGTAAATAAAAAGTCATTAGCAAAAAATGCATATTGGATAATACATTCATGTGTGATAATAGGGTCACATTCATGTATGATTATTCAAATATCAAATATAAACATTTGTATATGAATGTATTCCATTATTAAACACATGAAAACTACAATACTTTTGTAAAAAGTTGTTGAATTTAATATTTTATAAATAGGAGAAGATCAGTGATTATTTGGAATAATTTTTCTTTGGTTGTAAATGAAATTATTTTCTAAAGTAATGTCAGGTTTTCTCATCGACGATGTGAATCAATTTTTAGAGCTTGCCTGAATGGAAGAAAAGAGGTCGTTGAAGCTTTATTGAACGTTCGGGGTCATACCCTTATACAGCCAAGTACTCACGACACAGTGTTGCACGCCGCCATATCGTCTCGAAAACCAGTCATTGTAGAAATGATTCTTAAGGTTTATCTTTGTATTTTCTTGTTATCCTACACAGATTTCATGTTCTGTTATTAAAGAATATAGTTGCTTTCAGGCCTTCACACATTTGGTAACTGCGAAGAATGCGGACGGCAGTACAGCATTACATTGGGCTTCGCAGTGTGGCAGTTTAGATATCGTGAAGCTGTGCGTTTTACTCTGTACACTTTTCTGTGTTGCAAAATTGTTAGCAAGATTTTTTTATTGTTATGATTTATCAAGCTAGTACACATTGGACTGTGTTGGTGAGGAGTATATCGATCTATCTTTTGATTAAATTTAGAGTTGTTGCAGAATTTAGCAAGCTAGGGTTTTGTCGAGAGAAGCCATAAAAGGTAAGCAAAATATGAAACAAATATGATTCACAAATTTTGTATTTATTGTCTTTTTTATGGTATCATCAGTCTGTTATTCTTTTTTAATAATTTTATCGCTTTTTCAGATTACTGGAATTTCCATACGAGGAGGATGTTCTGACAAAAATTGAGGATGCTTCTGGACGTTTCAGTTATCGTTTCGTGTTAGACGTTAACGGATTGGATGTACAGTGTCGTACCGCTCTATATCTTGCCGTCGCTAATTCATATTATGATGTAGTGAAGTATTTACTTGAGGTAAGTATAGTACTGCGAAGAGTATATGTATGGTATCCCTATATGTTTGGTGTGATTACTGGAAAACTTTTTATCGAAGAGACTGGTGTGCCATGAAATTGGTATTGTTTGATATTTGGTTTGCTGATTTCTTCTCTTTTAGGTAGAGTTCCTATCGATGAACAGTGATCAGAAATGCCCATTCGAAGTTGATGTGTACTGCAGTGGTGGGAAGACTCCGCTTATGGTGGCCGCAGCAAACGGTGACATAGCTTTAGTGAAGTATGTATGTTGCATTTTATAAGAAATCAAGTTCTAGCTTTAATGTCCAATTTAACTGCCAGTATCTTCAAGTTAAATAAAAAATTAAACTGTTACAACAAATAGAGGCCTTTAGATTCATGTTAATTAATGGCACCCTTGTTATAACGAATGCCCGTCCGTCATTGTTTGGAGCAAGAATACCAATTTCATTTAGGCTTAAGCTTGTCTTATTTTTCATATTAATTTATGTTATTAATTAACGTCCAAAAGCTATCCATAATCTGTTTCGTATGCATGTATTACCTTAAAAAATTTCCCTTGAAATAGTGCACGAATAGATCAGCCATATCGTATTAGTGCCCGTTGTTATAAGATGTCCATCCTTCCCTTTCAGAGGTGCAAGGTCTTTGGATGTACAGAAGATGCTCCGTTTCCAACACTGCAGCATATAATCTGTGAAGTCATCAAGGAATAATCAGTAGTACTGATTTTCTGACTCCACTTTATTGGATTTGAAAAGTAGTGACTTTATAAGTTATTAATAATATGCATAATGAAAGGTTTTGAAATTATTGTGGAATAAGAGTTTTCAGACTGCTAGTGGATCATGGCGCAGATGTAAATCTACCCTGTGGACTCACAGATGCAGACATCAGCAGTGTAGATGGTGCTCGATGTATTGGTTCCGGTGCTCTCAGTGAAGCATGCCGAATTGGTTGTTTCTCTTTAGTCCAGCTTCTACTCCAACGAGGGGCCGTTGACAACGAGAACGTTGCTCTCGCTACAGCCTTCAAAGTACATTATTTTATCGTTTCTGCTGAAAATTCCTTTTCTTAATGTTTCATTTCAGTACAATCAGGATTCGTTGGCGAGGCTGTTCCTGTTGCGTCTTGCATTCGTGGATCCAGAATACCGTGTCAGCAAGAATATAGATTTAGGACAGGTATCAGTAAATCGTAACCAGCTATCTTCAGCTGTATATCCGACTACACCATGCATGCTCAATTGGCATAACGCAAGCTTAGAGACTGTTTCGAGCGATTGGCTTATTGCCGCGTCCCTCCAAGTGAATCAAAGGCTGAGAACATCACGGTGATTGTTTTTTATCATCAGATATAGTTATTATTGACTCCGTCGAAGTCCACTCAATGAAACACATTTCCATTTTGCATGAACTTGTAAATGCGATGAAATCATAGCGGAATCCGCTCTTATACTCTTCCTCCTTTTCTGATTCGGGTAAAATTTGCAGAATGGCATTGGCAGCTCTTACGCGAATCGATTTATCAAAGAATAAGATAAAGAAATTAAATGGGCAGCTATTGCAGCTGTCTTCATTAAGGAGTCTCAATGCAGCAAATAATGAAATTATCGAAATTGAGATTCCTAGTGATGGGTTTCATGCGCCGCTCCTAGAAAGCTTGTTACTGGAATTTAACAAGCTGTCTCTTCTTCCAGACGAAGTACGCTTTTTTGAATAACTAATAAGTTCGCCCCTTATTTGATATTCTTGTTTCTTTATTTCTATAGAACTACGTATATGTTGAAGTGATACGAGATACAAATACAGTATTATTAGACACTCTTTAGGAGCAACTTCAACAAGGTCTTCTTCTTTTTTCTTTTTGGATAGAGAGCAAAAAGAGATTATGTAAAGAGTAGCAAGGTTTTTATTTTCAGTTATTCACAAGCAGACTGCCAATGCTAAATTTTCTGGATGTGTCACATAACAAACTATGTTCTCTTCCGGAGACTCTATGGTTTGCACCAAGGTTACGAGAACTAAATGTGTCCAACAATACTCTCACTGTATTGCCGGCAGTTGGTTCTTTGCAATTTCGACCTTCGAGTAGTCTTTCTGAAATTGAACAGCCAGAATCATTCTATTCGGATTTGTATACTCATCAGAGCACCTTATCAACAGATGATTCCTTGAGTGTCAACGGACGCAATGATGAGTCCAACATTACTATTCATGAACTGAAAAGGTTTTTTGAATATTTTTTTACATTCCGTTACAGAAAAAAGCATGGCTTATGTAATTTAACGGGGTGATGTTGTCTGATCCATCGAGTATCTGAATTTTTTTCAGGCACAATATATGGCAGACGAGCATACGATTAGCTCGATCGGAGGAATCAGATACCGAGAATGGGCCTCTGTCTTTCTCTTCTATGATTTCAGTTTTTAATGTGTCGCACAATAATGTATGCTTTTTATAATTGCTTTCAGTTTATCTCACGTTAAATCTACAGTCATTTTTGTTATAGTTTACTCGAAAGAAAAATTTACTGTAATTATACGTTAGTTGCAAATATCAGCATCACAGTTCCGAACTTTCACTTTAGAGAGATCATTTACATACAGATCAAAGTGATGCCGTCGTGTCTGGCCTGTTGTTGTCCGTATTTAACGAGACTCAATATATCCCATAACCAGCTGACATCTCTTGGTCCAGTGCAATGTTTACCTTCTCGATTGAGACACTTGGATGTTTCAAACAATCAGCTCGTTGTTGCTTTCGAGTGTCCGACTGCTACGCAGTTAGTGTGTCATGCAGTCAACGTTCCGTCAAATGAAATCTCACCAATGAGGCGTGCAAGTCCTTTACGTAATTCACGTAGGTTTTATGGTTTTTTGGCTCGCTTTTTAATAAAATTTGTTAATGCATTTTTGTTGCGTACCGAATGTAGTATTAAATTTTGTTTATTTTTTGATTCTCTTGCTCAGTGGTTCGAGTATTCTCAATGGTCCATTTTCACTTGTCATCAAAGTCCAACTCTTCCTATAACTTCCTTTCCTTGCTGTGACACCCTTGTTTTAGGATCTCGCTCAAAATCAGCAGTTCGTAGTCAACGCTCGTTAAGTGTTGCTCCAGCTGGTGACTCGTGTGATACATTCATCGATGCTTGTCCTCATAAGCAGCACACGAGACTAGAATCGTTACGCACTTTTCTGGTAGCCAACAATCGTCTTACGGAAATTCCTCTTCTTGTTCCCAGTTTGAAGAACATTTCATCTCCAAAAAAGAAGCAGCGTGAAAACCGTCAGAAATATTCTGCGGTAGAATTTTTCATATATTAAATGAGGCGGAATGGCCAGACGTATTAACGATATATGAATGAGAAAAATGAAAATTAATAGAAATTTTCACTCACTTTCAGTTTTCCAGGGTAGAAGACAAATGCTATTTCCTGCTCTCACAACTCTTGATGTGAGCAATAACTACTTGTCAAACGTTCCTGCAACGCTCTCTGACTTGGTATCTTTATCTGTGTTAAACTTGAGTGGAAATAATGGCATTGAAATGCTGCCTCCAGAGTTGGGTCTTCTTAGTAAGTTTCACTTTTTATTCTTTGTCTTTTTCTCTAACATTCGTATATGAGTTGCTACATAGAAAATCTCACTTTAGGTAAACTTTGGAATCTTATTCTGAAGGGTTGTTCGTTGCGAGATCCGCTAAAGAGTATGGTGTATGTGGAGAGCTACAAAACTGTCGATTTGATTGCATATCTGAAATCCATCTTGGAAGAGTATGTCGTTTCTCTTAATCAGTTCAGCTCTTTGTTGTTTTTCATCACATTCGAAATGATTGCATCGAGGCAATAAAATTGTTTCGAGATAAAAGAAAATATTAAATTTAGAAGCGCTTTTTGCAGTTTTTATTGATCATTCAGTCTTTTATACTTTTGAATATTAGGCAAACAATATGGTCGACTATATTCTTGTTGCAGTTCTCGTCCATATACACGGCTTAAACTGATGATCGTTGGAGTGCAAGGAATCGGGAAAACCTCACTTTTACAACAAATTCGTCTGGAGGGTACGGTGGGCAAAAGGACACTACCAAACGATGTAACTTTCTTGTTGTGTTTTTACTTCGTTTTCTGCATCCTCTTCTACTTTTATCTAAATTTTCTAGAATTTTTTAAAGAGAGTACTCTGCGACCCACCAATATTTTATGTCCTGTTTACTGTTATGTTAATCTTATCTTTCTTACTCGTTCTCTCTGATTTGATTACTTTCGCTCTCCGTGTAAAACCTTCTGATGATGAAAAATTCATTGAAATGGGCTGCAGAGCTGGTCGAAAAGAATGGGACGCAATGCAGGCAGTGGTGGAGACCGTACCCCAAAGGGTGCCAACATTTCCACAGTGGGTGTTGATATCGCTGAGTGGACCTTTGAGCCAAAAAAGACGAAAGGTTAGAAGAGAGAATTGCAGAAACTTATGATTGTCGTAAAATATAGTGCATTATGTTTGAGAGCGCTGCATAATGTATTCCTTTGAATTCAAATAAGGCAGAAAAAAATGAAAAACCGTCTTGTTTTATCTATCGATGCTTCGGTGTTGTTCCTTTTCTCGTAGTTCTCATTTTATAATATAGTTTCTAGTCGAATTTTTTTAGGTGAGCCTACCTTTGGTCCGCTTACATTTCGTACTTGGGATTTCGGTGGACAGCGCGAATACTATGCGACCCACCAATATTTTTTATCTCGGCGTTCTTTATATGTGTTAGTGTGGAAGGTAACTGATGGTGAAGCAGCATTGCCAGATTTGCGTCAATGGCTCGTCAATATACAGGTCTGAAGTTTGAACTTTATCTTCATTTATCCTTATTAGTAGTTTCAATTTTGGCATCTTTTACACGACCAAATGGTAATATTTCTTAGATGGTTCAATTTTTACGTCCACATCTTCCTTTCATCATTGTACATTCGCTGTTCAGTGAATCTCACTTTATCTAGTGTTTACAGGCTCGTGCACCGAATTCTCCAGTAATCATCGTTGGTACCCACGTTGACCAAATCTTTTCGAATCCTGAACGTTTCCCATCTACTTATCTTGACGATCTGAATACAATCATCAGAGGTTTGGTCATTTTTCAATATTTTTTATCGTTATTAGAAAACCTGCAATGGATTTTGAGATAAAGTGTGCAGCTACTTCGAGAGAATATTCAACGAAATTTTTTAGAGTGGTTCCAGTTTGAATAATTTTCAATTTGTGGTTTCAACTCTCACTATTTATCATGGATGTCCCCTGTACTCAGTGCATTATCATATCATATAGCAGACAAGACAAGTCAAGAAGATATTCTTTATTAAAATTCTATCATCTTTACTGGTTTTTCCGTTGTGACTTTAGGAGGATGAAATTACAGATCACTTTGTAGTGGTGCCCGATGCAGATAAAAAAGGTCTACCACGTGTCGTTGAGTCACTCTTTGTCTCTTCAAAAACGAAACAGAATATTCGTGTGCTTTGTAATTTACTTTACCGAACAGCTTATGATATTCGAATAGCGAATAGCAAAGAACGACTTCTAGATCAAAAGATTCCAGCTTCCTACATGGCATTAGAAAAAGTAACTTTCATGTATTTCAGTATACTCTCAACTTGTTCATCATTTCTTCCTTGATAACTAGCTTTTTTCTAACATGAACTTTGGGGGATTATTTTCCAAGTTATTTTGTCATCTTTGTGATTTTTATTCATTCCATCTTTTTCTTCTAAGTCACTGTTGATGTTTATTAGATAGTGGTTGAACTGGCAGATGAACGACGTTCGACAGGGATAGAACCAGTTCTGAGGAGCAATGATTTTCGTACTATTGTCCAAGAACGGATGTTAAAGAATTACGGTCGTGCATTCCGTGATGATATCGAATTTAACCACGCCTGCTCATTTCTCCACGAGAATGGTTAGCTTTCTGTTTTAAAGCGTGTAATTTTTTATCCAAAAAAAAAAAAAACAGCAATCATGTTGTCAATGGGCCAAAAAGTTGGATTTCGTATTTTGGATAAATTCAACGAGTGAATAAAACCAGTCCGCAGATGGACGAAGTGGCTTGCTAAACTTGGTAATAGTGTAAGAAAGTATGCTTAAGCCAATGAATTGTTAATGACTATTGTAGGAGTAATACTGCATTATGAGGATGTGACTCTCAGAGAGTTATATTTCTTGGATCCGCAATGGCTGTGCGACATTCTTGCTCATGTGATAACAATTCGGGAAATAAATCCGTTTGCCCGCAATGGACTTATGAAAATTGACGACCTTCAGATGTTATTCAAGTCATTAAATTTGAGCAACTCTGCTATTAATTTGAGGTACACCAGATTATTTCCCTCTGTGGAACTCAATTCTTTTGATTTGCATCTACACCTTGGTATCACTTTTCAGGTCTCACATTATATCCCTACTGCAGAAGTTCGAGGTTGCACTTTGTTGGCAGTCGCGTTCACTACTGATCCCTTCTTTGTTACCGGATGAATATCAGTTAAGGGGCGGTTATCCGGGTTCAAAGGTTATGGTTAGTTTTTAATTTACATTTGCTATAGTTTTTGAAATTTATCAGTACTGTAATTCTTACTTTCTGAAAGTATATGTTGTCTGATGTTCAATACTTCTGACGTTGTCATTGGGCTATTTGCACGAACAGTTCCTGTTATCTGATTTAGTCTATTGATGAAGTTTTCTAGACTGACATATGCTCATCTTTGTGAATATGCGGACATCGATTCAAAATAAAATACGGAAATTATATCGTTTACAAATAAAATGAATTATCAAGTGCTTTTCTCCGGCATAGCCTTTTTGTTCATCTTTTAACCAGTCTTCAAATTAGTGTATATAAAATATATAAAAAGCCTTAAAAATTAAGTACAAAGAAGTGTATATAAAATTAATTTCTCTGCATACATGGCAGCTCTTATTTGTATATATGCTGGCGATTATGTGGAATATTCTCTACATTCGCCTTTTATAAATATACAATTTTTCCTCCTTCTGCTCACTAATCCTTTTTTTTCTTTTTAGTTCAAATTTTCAATTTAAGCTGTCTTACACTTCTTTCTTATTAATCTCCAGTTAAAGCCAGTATTAAAGCTAAATGAAGTTTATTATTACATCGATGTAAAAAACCATTGCTTAATAAACAGTCTTACATGTATGACAGCTGAGATCGTAAATCTTAATTATAGATCAAATGGCTAAAAATATAAGCAAAGGCAGAAAACTTGTAGGTGCCAACAAGGGCTACATCGTGGCAATTGGCAGTTGGGCAGCGAGAAACGAAAAAGAGTCTTATAATGAAAGCACCACATCTCCAAGTACAGGCACTGTTTTCTCAACGAAATTTGGGTGGTACACGATATCGAGCAACAGTACCGCTGACCACTCTTTCGGATGGTTGTAAAAAATCTCCAGCACCAGTTTCAGTTAATCGTGATGAGTCTGAGGATGATAAGGGAGCTCGTTTAATAGCCGGGGAGCACAAATGTATTGTTAACATGGAATACCTGGAACAGGTGAGTACACTTCAGCAGTAGCAAGCTTTCGAGATTAGTTTGAAGTTTCGTAGTTTCTGAGAATGCTTTTTTGGTATAACCTTAGTTAAATGATTCAGATTCCCTAATCATTGTTCAAGGTTATTGAATAAAGGTACAGAAGAGTAATGGAAGATATTGGTTTATAAATTCTAGTTAACGAAATATTATAGGAGATAGTTCGTCGAATCTATATGATGGCATATATACCTTCCGGCTTTTGGTCTCGGCTAATGACGCGTGTACTTGTTGATGATCATATTACAATGTGTGTGGAACGTTTATTGGAAGTTGAGTACCTGTCGGAGGGCTCTTCGTTGGAGATACTAAATGAACTCTGTGACAGACAATTTCTTTCATATTGGCTACTTTGGCAGACTGGTTTCGAGGTATGCTTTTCTTTCAGTTCTGCTTGCGCATTTCCACTTTTAGTTTTCTTCATACAATGTGTCCCACCGTTCATTCATCTCCTCTTTTGCTCTCATTCACCGAAATATCAGTTGTTACTTTATTATTCCTACCTTTTTTATATTGTTACTTTATTACTCCTACCTTTTTTATATATCATCCATTCCTTATGCTCACTTGCAAAAGATGGTCCCATTTGTTTCTGAAGCAGCTTCTATTCGTCTACCTTTCCGCTTAATCAGAAAACGAATAGTTGTGGCATTTGGTTATTATCACGTAGAAAATAAAAGGGCTAGATTTCCAAATGCAAAAAGTAATGACTGCTACCGTTTTAGGTATATATGTTATAATTGCAAATGCAAAATGTTATAATTACAGAATGTTTCTGTATAAAACCATTCTTTGGTAGTGTTCTTTTGTTCTTTGCATCTCACCAACTTCCGAATCGAAATTCCTGTTTTTGAGAACAAATTGAGAACAACTGAGAACAGGGAAGATAATAGTAATAAAACTTTTTTTAAAAAAGATAGTATGAGATGGAGTTGAAATAGTTTTTTTTTTCTTTTACATCGCTTCCGGTATTATTACTCTCATGCTTGCAGATCTTGGCGTTTGAAAAGACAATATTTATAATGCGCCAGTTTTTACCGCTTGCGGAGGTTCGGGACGTTCACTACGAAATAGTCGAATGGCATTGTTGCGCAGAAGATAGTAACTGGCGTACGTTGGACATGAATGGTTCCTCACTGATCGAAATCATTATTCCATCAGTCAGGTTCCATTTGTATTTAATGTTTGATTGCCATGTCCTTATCATATCAAAGAAATTGAGAACAATTTTTTTTTATTTCAGGATAAATTTAGTAAGTGGTGAAAAAGAATACGTTCTTCGGAGTAACCGTGCTGCAGTGACCCGTCTTTTGGCTCTCATTGTGGACATTATGGATACTTTGTTGGAGGATTGGTATGTGTTTATCTGTTTATACTGCTTTTCCATTACAAAGATGCAAAAAATATCTCACTGGAAGCTTAAAGAATACGATTAATTTTAACTTATGTGAAACGATATATTTCTTTACTGACTATGATTCCAATATTTTCAGGTATCCCTCATTAGGAACACGTTTTGTGCATACTTCGGAGGGATGCCTCCTTGTAAATCGTCTTGTTCCATGTCTCAAATGTGCCAGTAGTACGCGATATCTGGATACATCTTTTAAAGTTAAGCAGAATGATGGTCTAATATGGTGATTTTTGTTTAATTATAATGTTTTATATTCTCAGACATATTGGTCAACATTATTCTTCTCTTTTTGCCTCTCTGGTATTTTTTCTAACATTATAATTTGACTTTGTTAGCATTACAATTTTACCTTATTTTGACTTTTGTTTTACTTCTTGTCCTTCTTTTTATTTTTCCGGAAATGATACCTCATTTTAGTGAAACGTCACCAAAGCAAAAGTTACATGCATTCACAGTGGAGGAGTGTATCCTTAGCGCCCACGACGGAGTCAATTTAAGATGTCCACTGCACTCCGACATATCCGTTGTAGACATTGCTCCTGACACTGTTTTCCTGGATATCAATGAGGATTATCTAATTCAGCCTACGTCAGTGAAACGTGGTAAATTGATCGGACATGGTGCCTTCGGTTTTGTGTTTAAGGCTGCTATCAGATTTTCGGTAAGTTGTTCACTGTCGATGGTCAAAAAAGACTGACGAATGTTTCATCTTTTTTCAAACATGTAAGGCATTCTTAACTATCTATAATTTCAATTTTTCGCTAGTAATAAATAACAAGACGTTCTATGAATCAAAAGATGATAAAAAGTTACTGACGCTATCATATATTCCAGGATGCAAACGTGCAAGTTGCCGCGTTAAAAATGTTGGAACCAGTGGAACCGGGCTTGGGAGCTCGAACATCGTCTGTTTCAGCATATAAGGTGAACTTCCCTCGCGTTCTGCTGTATGTATTAATGTTAATACATATATATGAAGTATAACATTGCATATATGAATATGAAGTATAACATTTTATGAAGTATAACGAAGTATGAAGTATTTATGAAGTATGAAGTATAACATTTTCTTAAGCTTTGCAATCACAAAAAATTGTGGTGTTTCTGGAAGATTAATTTGACTCTGCGCAAGAAAGAGCAGCAGCATTAATGATTTCTGGGGACTGCTCAAACACTTCAAATCGTTTCAACTTATAAAAGCATTTGAATTTGTTCACATCGAGAGAATCAATCTTCATTATGCTAAGCAGGTTTGATTTTTAGGCAGCATATACGAAATGGCAACGGGATCCACTACAGAATGCTTGCCGTGCATACTGTACTTGTCGACAAGAGCTGAATGTGCTAGCATCGCTTCAGCATTCTCACATCACTGCATTGATAGGAGTATGTTCGCGACCTTTGGCTCTTTTGGTCGAATTAGCTCCTCTTGGTGCCTTGAATCATCTACTCAACAATTACAGACGAAGCGGGGCCCGGTTACGTCTCAGTGTCATTCAAGATACTGCCAGTCAGGTTCTTTTCAATGATTTCGGAACATATCCAGTTGATTTCCTTTCATGTTACAACAGCATAACTAGATTATTTTCGAAATTCCTAATTAAAAATAAACTATATAATTCTTGAATCCAATTTTGCAATTTTCAGGTAGCCAAGGCGCTGGAATATCTTCACGAACACCGCATCATTTATCGCGACCTGAAATGTGAAAATGTGTTGACGTGGCGATTTCCCCCACCATTTAGTAGCATAACGGACGTCTTGGTTAAACTGGGCGATTACGGTATATCACGAAGCTCGTTTCCTTCTGGTGGTGCAAAGGGATTTGGCGGGACTGAAGGTTTCATGGCTCCAGAGATAATCCGCTACAACGGGGAGCAGGAATACACGGAAAAGGTTATGTTAAGGCCAGTTATGTCTGCAATTACTTTTTTCTCTTTTGTGCATTTTAATTTATTACCTAGTACAGGTAGACTGCTTCTCGTTTGCGATGTTCTTATATGAGCTGATTAGTCTCAAGTTACCATTCGATGGTCATGAACAACTCAAAGAATATGTTTTGGATGGAGGTCGGCCACGGCTCACTCCTTCTGTGAGTTCATTTTTTGTTTTAGTGCTCACTGATAGCGATTTCAAAAATGAATGAAATATTACTCCAAATATTTATTTGCTATGTTCTACTCCAAACATTTAGCTTGCTTGCTGAACAGTTAGCCATTTAATTTTGGCTTCTTTAATTGGTTTGATATATTGAATAAATATAATTTGGAAAGCATTATTCATTCGTACGCAGACGTTATTCATTTTTACATTCAGACAATTAGAGCTGGAATATTCACAAATTATGTTAACATATGAAGATTGTTTTTCTGTCTAGTTATTACTAAATTACAGGAATTGTTATATCCTTGTAACGTGCTGGATGTGATGGTTGTCTGTTGGGCAGCACAGCCGGTAGATCGTCCTTCAGCGTCTCAGATTGTCTCTATGACTACAGCTCCTGAATTTACTCACCTACTGGATGTCATCTCCCTAAATGACCCGGATTCGATTGTCAATGCTAGTATTTCTTTTCCCAGTAAGTAATCCATTATCTCTTCTCATAAGTAGATCAGGATCGAAAAAAGTGTTGTGAGAAGATTCCTGCAAATCACGACTAGTGATCTTAACAACTTTACGGAATTTTGAAGTTCCATATGCTCTTTCTGTTATTATCAGTATGCAGTATTAACCGTGCTAAGGTTTCCTTTCTTTGTTGAATTCTGTTTAACTGGAATTAGAGGTATCACAGCCCTATTTTTCCATATTAATTAACAGATTTTTTTAAAGCTCTGGACGACGTGGAGTTAGGTTCCACAATAGAGGACAGTGTTGAAGGAGAAATATGGATGAGTAGATCGGACGGGTCTGTGACTGTTCTTAGTTGCAATCAGTATGGTTGGCTGGATTCGAAGGTTGATTTCATAAATTTTGATGTTATCCAGTTATTTCTTAGAATACAGTTTGAAGATTGAAAGGCCAGCACGTGAAATCAAAAATTAACTATATTCTACCATTAGCAAAATTACAGAGTATCATCATGAATACGGACAAGACTGTAATATTGGCGATGTGCGTGGTCAACGACAATGTGTGGCTTGCAGAATCGACTGGAATATTGAGGATTTACTGGTTTGTTAATATCGGTTGATGCTGAAGTCGGTTTTGATGAGAAAGCAGGAAAGGGACGTCTTTATTTTTTCCTACGTATTTTTGTATGAAAAATTCATCTGTTTCAGCCGCTCGTCGTATTCCGAACTTTGGTCATTCTCAATATCGCGCTTCCTCCCTACTGCACATCTCTCTATTAGTGTCATTTCATTGTCGATTTTTATTACTACTCCACTATTAATATTAGTTACTCTTCCTTCTGCGTTACTGCTTGTGAAGGGTGATCGCACTCCTGATAGTCCCTTCGTCTCTTCTATCGGTTTATCTACCATCCACTCATCTGCTGTAATCGATTATGGCCAGAATGTAAAGTAAGCGATTCTGTTCTTATTTTGTTTTCAAGAGTATGTCAAAATAAATGTCCTTGATTTACATGTTATTTTGTTATCTTCTTAAATTTCTTTTTTTTGATTATAAGTGACACATCAAATTCTGATCTGCATCCATTTGATTCCCTTTTTATTCAGAGTTCATTCCGTCTGATTAACTTAAGATCTCTTCTTTAATTCATTAATGTATTCATAATCTGAACTGTGGTTAAAATGAACAGTGCTACTATGTATTACTAGGTATGAACGGTATGTGTAATGAAGAAAAAGAAACATATCAGTTTTTTATTTTTAGGCAGATATGGACGGGACACGAGCATTCCTCCATAACCATTTACGATGTAACTTTAGAGAATCGATTAACATTCGCTGCAAACATCTGTCATGGAGAAAGTCAGGTAGATGCTATTGAGAAAAACTGTGTATCACATATGGTGACTACTGGAACAGACTCGGCGCTGTTATGGTCTGTCCTTTCGCATGGAAGCAAAGTAATTAAAGATTGATTTTTTTTTCATTAACAGAATCGTTACCTGGTATTTCGGTAGCTCCCCATATTTTAGCATCCCGACTTTCGTTAAGTGGAAAATATATGGTTCTGATAACTCTGTATTTACATTAAATTTAATGTAAAGCTTAAGAAATTGGACCATAAAAATATTTGGTCTCGTAGCGGTTACCGGTATAAAAATATTGCAGTTTTCGCCGTAGCTTTTCTTCCTTGCTAGTGGTGTGATTCTAAGTGAAATGATGAGATATGGTTGTGCAAAGTATTGCTGTGATCAGCAGACCTGTTCTTTGTTGATCACACTAAATACTACTCTCTAATACTGCCTTTCATGTTGATTTGGAGAAGGAATCTATTATATATCTGTAGGTTTATCAGTGGTCCACTGCATCGCGAAAGGTGCGTAATCGACTTGACTCCTGTAAGATTTTGCCTTCCTCGGAATCCATTTCAACTCTGGATATTGAGGCGTCTCGAGATGGTTATGTTTCTGCACTTGCGCTGTTAGATAGAACAGATTGTGCACAACTGTATATAGGAACTAGCAGAGGAGCAGTAATTGTTGCTCAAGCTTTCGAGGTAAGTAGAGTTTTTGTATGGCGTTGTTGGTGAGTGCATAGGCATAGGAAAAGAATGGGAATTATTTGAGATACGTGTATTTGCAAAGAATCCACCGTAACCATATGTTTCCGTACTAAATATATTTTATACACCAATATTTCACAGCTTAGAATATGAATTTTGGGATATGAATTTTGCAGCTATGAATGATCTTCATGTTTTTACCATTTTCTATTCATGACATCACCAGAGCTGTAAATTATATTCGTTGATATTGTGGTAAGGAAATTATCCTAGTTATGAAGCTTAGCTTTTAGCTAGCAAAAGCTTAGCTTTTCATACATCCCGAAGCACATAAAACTTTTATACCTGCACCAATCACTAATGAATATGAAAGTTATTAAAAGTGACATCATTAATAAAATGGTATCCACGTGTCAAATCTGATGATCAAAGTTGAAGTCACTTATAATGAACCAAGTGTCATTTACCAAATAAAATGATGTTGAAAAAAAGATGTTTTGGAATAAAAAGGTGTAGTAGTCGTATCTTGTTGTGGTTGGTAGTCATTCGTATTACTTAGCTTATCCTTTGTTAAAGTTCAGACATGCCATTACTGAATGTAAACAGCTATACTGCAGATGCGACCACTCGCTGCATTTCGGCCATATGTGGAAGACGTGCATACGATTATTGTGTTGGACGTAGCTTCAGCCCTAAATGAATACATGCGTACTCACAGAGATTTCGTCAGTATGACGAGCTTGAGAAGACGAAGTTTTGGCGCTAACAGCAGTAGTAGCGGAGGTGATCCACAAGAAAATGTTAACTGGGTGAAGGATCGTGTATCAGAAACAGTAGATCGTTTCAGACAGGATACTACCGAACGTGTATCTTCCTTAAATAGTTATGTAATTACTGTTGGAAATGGGTACAGGTTCGTTATCTTTTTAGCTTTTTTGTTCCGTTGCGGTTTGTGATAAAATGCCGGACTTTTCAGTGGTACTTGATTTAAATGCCGGTTGATAATTGAGTTCAGCATTCCTTTTCATTTTTTTCAAGTAACTGTAGATTTTTCTTCGGTGAAAAATCGGGAAGTATTGAGATTTTTTTGGGTGATGCTGACATATTGCTGTAAATCATTTCGATAATTTACAGATGTTTGATAGATCGATTTACGGATCGGAAGCATCAAGGGTCAGCTACTCTTCGTCGAGATTCGCACTGCGCAATCATATGGCGCACGGATGAATGGGTTTCATGATGTGTCCGTTCAAACTGCATATGTTAAGCTACTCCAGCCAATTTGGGCATATCACTACATATCATGTTACTTCACTGTTTTCCGTCATCTTGAATAGTACTTTTTTTTTGTTTTTGTTTTTTTTCTTTTTTTTTGCTTCCTAGCTTTTCCAAGCCTTTCTGCCGCTTTTTTGGAAGACTTTTCATATAGCTGGATCTTTAATTTCCTCAGTATTCTATAATGCCGATATCTTTTTCCTCGCTACCCTTAGCAGTTATATCTTCAAATTACCTTTGCGTGAAGATTTCCTTCAAAATTACCCTTGCATTTACTGTTTGCAGTTCTGAATTGTCATTGGATTCTTGGTATATGCTGTATGTCAAGTGCTCAGTAAAGAAGAGGGAATAAATTGATACTAACATATTGTGGAGTACTTCCAGATGCATATTGCGCTGTACCATATGTGCTGTTGACAGTAATATGTTAATGTCTTCAACGCTTAACTCTCGGATTATTTTAATCTCATTTGTCAATAAGTATTAAGCAGGTTGTGCATCCGGTGAATTTCGTCATGTACATAAAGTTAACGTTCCCTTTTTGTTCCATTATCACAATGCTACTGCTTCATTGAAAGCGTGTTTCGAGATTACTGCAGTTTTGCACTAATAAAATTTGTGAACTTTTGGGTTATTTCTTATTTTGGTCACAGTTTAAGCATGCATCAAAAATTCCTTAATAGTTATATTTTTGATTTTGACTGTCATTCACAAATGATACTGGCAACATATTAATGTTTTTCTCCGAGATAATTGTAAAAGCGATATTAAAAGTTTAATTAGGAAGGATAAAATGGCGTTTCTGCGACCAACAGAATCCAGGCAGAAACGAACTACCAACACAATGGCTTGTCTTCTTCAGGCTATGGAGGGTAATTCGGTGGTCATTGAGCTGAAGGATTATTCTACTGTGCAAGGTTAGATTCCAGTATTTGACCGTCTATGTATTCGGGTTGTAGATTATTTCTATAGTTATAAAAGGTTTTTTTTGGATTGGTACTTGATCATTTACTGTTGTTCGGAGAGTTCAAAACAGGTTTTTATTATTTTCGCTTGCCCTTCTTCCCTTTATCCCAAAATTCGACAAAGAGAGGAAGAAAGGAGCAAAAGAAAGAATATTCAGACTTTATGGAATTCCGTGCCGAAAGGGAACTTAGTTATTGAACTAGAGTTTATCGGTAAAATTTGAATCTTATGCCTTGCACTGCATTCCTGGCTACATCGTAATACAGTTACTTGTAAAGTAGCAAAATCATTTGCGCAATTCATCGGTTTCCTCAGCATTGTACATGTACAAAGTTTGAATGGCTGACTTGTGATTGATTTTACACTTCTACAGACTTAGTTCATACATCATGTTTTTAGGTAGTCGGTGAGTTTTCTTCATTGGTAACATCAGGAATTCCTTCCCTCGGTCATTGCTTTTTCTGATTTTCATAGACGTTAAGTAATTTCACTATTCCAATTAAAATGTTATTGTAAATTTAGGTACTCTGGCGCATTGTGATGATGCTATGAATGTAGAAATGAAGGTCGTTACTATCCATGATTCCAAGCACCATTCTGTACCTTTTCATTGTGATAGTTTCTATATACAAGGCAAATTTATACGTTTTGTGCACTTCGATCATTATTTCAACGCTGCTAAAGTAATACACAAATGGTTGAATGTTCCTCGAAAGCTGGGGGGATCATCAAGAAGAAGAACGCGTTAGATTATGATTTATCACTCGATTAAATGGAACGACTGGTTTTGTTCTCCTTGTATTTATTTCAGTGTCTGATTTGTGGGCATTGTTATCTGTTACACTTAAAGTCTGAGATCTTTATTCTTTTATTGCTGTACTTGTATTTATTTATCTCTCTCTGTTTCACTTAAAGTTTCTACTGCTACTTTAATATAATAACTGTAAAAATGAAAGCAAATAATTGCAGCTCAATATGTAGCGGTATCTGTTTACATAACATAGTTGCTGTTACCTGAAAAAAAAACCAAAAAAAAAAAAGAATGTCAGCCGTTTCTTCGCTACTCATTCACTATTATCATAAATGCTATTATTTGTCATTAAACAGGAAACTGTAGTATCAGTCTGCTCATTGAAGATACACCTTTCACTCCGCGCTTCTTGTAAGCGTGCTTTTTAACTACTCGATTATTTCAACATACAAGCGCTGTACAACCACATTAATCGTTGTAATGACAAAGTTCTTAGAAAATCTGAGAATCTGTTAAATGTAACGGGGTGAAATTGCAAGGGATGGAAGATCTGATGCAGTTTTTGTTCTTTTTTCCAATTCTGATAGTATTTTCTACTTGAATTTACTCATAGCACGAAAGAGAAACGTTTGTATTGAGGCTTCAACCAGACATATTTACCGGAAGCATCAAGCATGAGCGAAATTGTCTCAGTGGACACACTGCACGGACACCGACTCTGTCACCTGGGAGAAGCTTGTGTGTCCTTAGGATTCTTCCGGTAGTCTTTGGTGATTTTTACAGTAGTAAATTATACTGATGCCAGATAGGTCTTAAAGGAAGAAACAGATAAGTATGTCCACGGGTATGATGGACTCGCTAGTGTTCCCGCAACATCGTAGAAGAAAGGCAACCCTAACTCTAATGGAGCTCGTTTTACCTCGTAAGGCCATCCATCTAAGAGAAAACACTCTAACTAAACCTACGCCTTGAGGACTTCGCTGTCACCACTCTTAGCTTGTTAGGCCCTGGCGGATGAACTTTAGGAGTAAAGGGAGGACCAGTTCCACGCACACTGTATCTCACCCAAAAAAATCCACTGCCCAGGCTGGAAGGATACACCGACATCTGTGACCTTTGCAGTAAACGTGGATAGAATCCTCAAATCTTCGCTCTTAAACCTTAACCATGATGGTAATGATGATGAGACATCACAATAGTAACCCATTCCCTTCTGGTTATTGTAACAATAAATAATCCAAATTGATTGCAAACATTAATACACATCTTTCTGTCGAGAATCCGACTGAATATTCGTATTGTTCATACACATAATAAGTTTATGCTAATTTTATATAAAGCGTCATCTTACTTGGGGTATGAGAGGAAACGGGGGGGGGGGGGGGGAGGGGAAAGATGAGTGGGAAATCGAGATAAGGATAGGTGGAGAAGTTAAGCATGGACCAATTTTTATTGTTCTATGTTTATTTTTGGAATATGAAAAAGGAAAGGACAGGAGTTCCGAACTTTATACACACATATAGTTTATATGCGACTCATAATGTTGCCAGTTGTTAGGACGCAGGCGTCATTTCATTGATTACATACTAATGAATCTCACTAATAAGTTGAATATTCGATGGTAACTTCAACTGGTAATTAGACTTCGCCTTTGGACTGTAATTCCACCATTTCCCATTTTAACTGTGTCATTGGTTGTTCCTAATGGAATAAAGTTCCAACAAGTACTGTAGTGGATTCATTTGAGTCTTCTTTTTTCACAAAGCCTTCATTTGATCTATTTTCAAAAGTATCTTGTTGCATCAAGTGCACTACATCCCGTTCTTGTTTTAGTTACTAACTTATTTTAATTGCATTCTCTCGCACAATAGCTCAATTGATAACCGAAATATCTGTTTTGAATGACTGTAATAAATTTTATTTATTGATATCTTCTCAAATCTCACTGGAGTATTAACGAAGCCTGATCTACACATAAGTTAATTCAAGATCTTTTACCTACATAATCCCCTCTTCTCCCACTTATTCTTCCAAACGATGACATACTTTTGAGAGCTTATCAAGCTGTTGCCGAACAAAATACTAGCAAAAGACTTATTTAATAAGAGCAATTTATTATAAGGTACGATGCTGTTTCCTCGTTCACACACTCCATAAGCCTTCAATAACTTACGCGTTCCACTCAGTTCCATCCCTTCTTTTTCATCGTAATTTCCGTGCACTGTTATATATATATATATATATATATATATATATATATATATATATATATATATATATA